CTTTAAAGAGTGGAGTTTGTGTATTTTCTTAAGTGCTGGTGACAAGTAAAAGCATAAAAGAGGCTAGAGCATCCCTACAAGGGATATGTGTAACCTGTGTACAAGGAAAAAGCTGGGGGGGATTTTATAGATGCAGTTGTTTACCAGCTTCAGACTAAAGCCCCAGCTGTTCAGTCTTGTTCTCTTTTTGAACGTAGTTATACCTGAATTTCTCTGTGCTTTCTTGTAGAAGCACCTGCTCCTACAGTTGTAGGAACATGCTGTTTCCGGATACATAACACTCAGGACTTTCCTCTCCTTAGCAATCGTGTGAAATCACATGCAAAAATAAGGACCTACTGAGCGTATTAGTGTTCCTGATGTTGTGCAAACACTCTAGCACTGTAGTGAAAGTAATTGCAGTTGGCTACTGCCCTGTGACAGAGGTGGAAACTGGAAAGATGACTTTTCAATAATCAGTGAGCTATAAAAAATTGCTAATGGTAAAGAAACTGGCCTTTTACTGCTGTTCCTGGTTGAGCTTAGTATGGTATAGGTGAAGGGCAGAAACAACATGTGTATGCAGGTAGAAATGTGCATTAAATCCAGGTGCTTGGTTGAGGCTTCACCATGGCAGAACAAATATGAATCTGTTTTGTAAAAGAGGGCATGTTTTACTGAACTAATGAGGCTGTGAGAGCCAACCATCGGGTGCAGCTGATGGTATTCTGAGTATATTTCCCTTTCTTTCCTTACTGTAACACATGACTTAGCTTGAGAAAAGAAGCTGAAATTGCTGGAATAACTGGACTAGCAGATAGATGTGTAGCTTCCTTTTTTATTTGTTACTAGCATGTTTCTATCAGATTTACTATAGTTACCCTTCTTATAACTTCATAGGGATTTTTTCATAGGCCATAGTAAAAGCCCCACCCTGAGGTCTCTTCGTGCCTTCACCATCATTAAGTAAGACTGGTAAATTGGCATGTGGCTTCAGACCCCTGAGTCTCTCTGCATTAGGGTTGACACTTGAGAAGAACAGGTTTTTGTCCTTCATAGCAGTCTGGATAGGAGATAACCTGCAATATAGACTTCTTGACATTACAAGAAGTGTACGGTCATAGCTAGAGCAGTCTTGCTTTTTACTGGACATTGCGTTGGTCAGTCCTCAGGACATCTTGTAAAAGTACCAAGTAGTAGAACTAATGGTCCTTTGGAACATCATGCAGCTTGATATATTTTACTGTGAGGCAAAGCATTCTCCTTTCTTGTCATTTTCCATTAAGTGCCTCGAATATTTTTCCTTTTGTTTGCAGCTTTTAGATCTTCACAGATTCTGTACTTTGACATTCAGCTGCTCAAACAGTACATGCTTAATTCTGACTTCTAAATCTGTACCAGTTCACTGTGTTGTCTCCATCTGATAATCAATTATGTACCATGTTGAAAATACAGGCTTTCAAACTGGCAGCAGTTGGCAGGAGGTCCTGTAGCTTGCAGAAGTTGCATGAACTGATTTTTCAGGGTCTTTAGAGGAAAAAAATAATGGCACTGAAAAAAGTTCAGCATTGATTGTTTTAATAGGCTGTCACATGGATGCATGAATCTTATTACTGTTTGTTGCGCTACCAGAAAACCCCTCAGAAGTTAATGCATATTCTATTCATTTTGTCTTTGCAGAAAGAAGGGCTCCAGTAAATGGGAGCCCAGAAGCTTATTGGAGAAGCTGCGCTGGGTGACACTTGGTTACCATTATAACTGGGATACTAAGGTATTGAAGCTAAGTCTTTATTTTTCCCTGCTGTAAGCACTCAGAATGGCAGACAGAGGAGGATATCATGGAATAAAATGCTTATGATCCTACAAGACAGCCTTAAAGGAATGCTGTAACAAACGATGCTTGAAAGAAAATTTCAGTCTCTGTTGGCTTACTGTGAAGGATTTAACAGCAAAGTCCATTGCTGCACTCTTTCCATTGTAAGGTAACTGGTAGCATTAGATACAGCCCTAGACCTGTGACTCTATTTCAGGTTAAATGAGCATTTTTACCCTACCAAAAGGGATGGTCACAAAAGCATTTGTCGTGGTTTGTCTCTACTTCAGAGCAGCCCTATGGAGAAAGACTTGGGGGTGTTGGTCGATGAGAACCTTAACATGAACCGGCTTTAGTGTGCGCTCGCAGCCCAGAAAGCCAGTTATCCTGGGCTGCATCAAAAGGAGTGTGATCAGCAGGTCAAGGGAGGTGATCCTGCCCCTCTACTCTGCTCTTGTTCCAACAGTTCCATGTCTTTTTTATCTTGAGGACACCAGAACTGTACACAGTACTCAAAGTGAGGTCTCACAAGTCCAGAGAAGGGCCATGAGGATGATCAGGGGACTGGAGCACCTCCCATATGATGATAGGCTGAGAAAGTTGGGGCTGTTCAGCCTGGAGAAGAGAAGGCTGAGTGGAGACCTCATAGCAGCCTTCCAGTATCTGAAGGGGGTCTATAGGGATGCTGGGGATGGACTCATCATTAGGGACTATAGTGATAGGACAATGGGTAATGGTTTCAAACTTAAACAGGAGAAGTTTAGATTGGATATAAGGAGGGAGTTCTTTACTGTAAGGGTGGTGAGGCACTGGAATGGGTTGCCGAGGGAAGTTGTGAATGCTCCATCCCTGGCGATGTTCAAGGCCAGGTTGGACAGAGCCTTGGGTGAGATATTTTAGTGTGAGGTGTCCCTGCCTATGGCAGGGGGGTTGGAACTTGATGATCTTAAGGTCCTTTCCAACCCTAACTATTCTATGATTTTACTTAAGTTGAGAATGACCTTGAGTGCTTGAAGACAGCTACTTCTGAGAAACTACTTCTCTTCACAGGGGTGAGCGAGAGCAGGAAGAATCTGCTGCTGATGTGACTTTGAACCAGTATAATACAGCCTCACCAAGTAACAGCTATTTTGGGGCCCTTGACCAAAATAAACTTTTTCATAAAACTGAGTTAGATGGAGGCTGAAAAAGGATGGTGGAGTGAATATGCAGTCTTATCAGCATATTGCAGATACTTAACCAAATCTGCTTGCAGCTTTATATTTACTATGTCAGCCTATTATTGGGTGCCTTAATAAAAACTTAGTTATTCCCTTCCAGTCGTCTGAGAGTCAGTCATGGGAGAGAGAAAAAGTAGGTTTGCAGTTGATTTCTGTTCCTTGTTCTTCAAAGTTCTGTTAATGAGATACAGTTGTGTCTTTCAGTTAGCAGCTTTAGGTAGTAACCAAGTAGATCCTCAGGATGTTGGTACAAGCCTTAAGTACTAATCTTACTGACTTCAAGTTTGCCATCAAGATATAATGGTAACTCCACTATTAATTCTATCTTAGCAGTCTTAGCATGGGCCCAGAATTACATGAAGAGGTAAACTTGCTGTAGTTCTGCCTGTGTTGTAGTCATAAATATGATGTCCTCTGTGACTATTAGCCAAACTTCTGACTTCTCATTCAGTGTTTGTTTTTCAATTGTATGTTCTGCTCTGATGTTCTGGATGTGGTTTGTGTTTACTTTTTTCCCACTCTCCTTCCTCCAGAAGTACTCAGCAAATCACCACACTCCTTTCCCCTCAGACCTTGCGTTCCTGTCAGAACAAGTGGCCGCAGCCTGTGGGTTCCGGGGTTTCCAAGCCCAAGCAGGGATCTTGAACTACTATCACTTTGACTCCTCCCTGGGAATTCATGTGGATGAGTCTGAACTAGACCATTCTCGTCCCCTTTTATCATTCAGGTGAGTCAAGGAAAATGCTTAAGTGCTGTGGAAGGACTGGTCTCCTTTTTTATATAGTTGTATATATACATATATATGTATACATATATATATATGACTCCAGGAAGTCAGTATGATGTAGTTTGCTAATTGGATATATAATATTCACTCTCTGAAGATTTGAATAGTAGAAAGCTGTAGCTCAAGGTCATAATTTTTTCTCTGAAGACTGCTTGAATAGCATGGATGTGGCACCTGTGGTGGAAGAGCTCTTTGCACAGAGCACAGTTCTGTTCTAGTACGGTGTCAATTTGGTACTAGCAGGCAACAATGAAATAACTCAGAAGAGCTTCGAACCTGGCAAGGCAACTGCTCACACTGCCTTGAACCAGGCCTCTTAGTCTGTTTTCCATGCTCACATTGTAAAGTTGTTAAAAGTTGTTACTAGGAGACCTGTCTGGTTTGCTTGTTTGGATTTTGTTTTTGTTTGGTTTTGGTTTTGTACAAGCATTTAGCTGCTAATCTTTTCTTAACTGTACATATAACTGTTCTCTACCTGAATTAGTTTTGTCTTCTTTCTCTATCCTCATACTGTCTCTAGTTTTGGGCAGTCCTCAATATTTTTGCTTGGGGGCCTGAAGCGGGAGGAGGCCCCAACAGCAATGTTCATGCACAGTGGAGATATCATGGTGATGTCTGGCTTCAGTCGCCTCCTGTACCATGCTGTGCCACGGGTCCTCCCCAACCCTGAAGGAGCAGCTTTGCCTTCATGCCTGGACCAAGGACTTTCTTCAGACCTTCCTGTTGGCTCAGTCATTGAGCACAGCTCTGATGAGGACTGGCAGGTGTGTGCCAAGTACTTGCAGTCTTCCCGCATCAATATGACTATTCGGCAGGTGTTGGCTGAGGGTCAGAAATTCCCAGAGGAATCTGGGACAAAGGGAAAGGGCCAAGCACCCTCTGAAGATGGTCACCATCAGGAGAACAGCAGAACCAAGAGACATAAACCAAACATGAACACAGACAGCTGAGACCAGGAGGTCATGGTGACATGGACTGGACAGGCAATCTTCATGTGGAATTGGGAACTAATGTATTCATACTAGGTGTCACTTGTCAGTATTAGGATTAATAAACTTCTGCAGACTAAATCAAGTCATTTGTGCTGTAAAAAATAGGTTAAAGGAGAAAAAGAATTTAAAAGTAAAAGAAGGATGAGTTCAGGACTGGGACCCAGGAGAGCAGCTCTTCTGTTGTTTTGTTGCAGACATTTGTTGTACTCTGTTCCATTTAAAATATTTGTGTGTCAAAGAATTTTAAGCTTGGTACAGTGATGCTTATAAAGTATTTTGAAATCATTGGGCAGAAAGTGCTAGCAAAAGATACGTAATTGCGAAGGATTAAAGAATCCTACTGGGCTTGTGCTGCTCAGCTGAAGTGCAGTAGCATGAGTGAGAATAGGCCACTACGGGTGTGAGACCTACCTGCAGCATTTCCAAGAGGGCTAAGCTAACCTCTACCACAAAAATTGGTTCAGTGATTGGAAACTAGCAGCTCCCTCAAGCAGCACCTACTATAAGCTTGCTATAGTCCTGTGCTCTCCTCTTGCCTGCTTATACCTCCTCAGCTGTGTCAGAAACTGCTCTTATGAGTAGAATGACTTTTTTTGCATACCTAAGATTTTAGAGGGAAACAGCTGGGGGCAATGTCTACTTAGAATGGCTAGTAGCTCCTAGATGGGAGTATGTGACTGAACCCTATATCCCCATTCTTAAAAACTGTCCCCTCTTAAGTACCTGCAGATTATGGTCCTCCAGTCCCAAGACAGCATCTGTTAAGGAACAGAATGACTTGCATTAGAAGAAATGAAGTTGAAAAGTACCGAAAAAATTAATCAGTGACCATCTCTGCCACCCAAAGATAAATATATAGAAACAAAGAAAAGCACCAGCTTTTGTACCAGTTCTCTTTAAGGCTCAGACCTTCCTATCTCGTTTTTTACATGATTTTAATTGTTGGAGTGGAATGCACTATCCTTGGGGTATTTTGTTGCACTTTCCCAATGAATAAACTTACTCAGTTTTAAATTAAAGATCTATATCAGTTTGGGAATGGCTTTTTTCTTCTTTTCTTTCTCTCCCTGTTGGTTATTCAGTGTATTGTTAATGCTGCCACATCCTTTGTGCTGTTCCCTCCAGGCTTCTTTTGGATATGGCCTCTGCCATCTGCCAGCTCTGGTAGAGGATCCCTGTGTGTGTCTGCAGGGCTACCTAGCTAAAGGGCAGTTCAGGGTTTGGGCAGGTTCAGAGAGGTGTTGCCTGCAGTATCCAAGTCCTGTTCAATATGGATGTGACAGCTTTTCCTCATGGGGAAAATGTCTGGTCTGTTTATTTCATAGCAAGTGAATGCGTGTATGTGCAATTAATTCCTTATGCAACACTGCAAAGAGCTTCAGTAATTTAATGTCTAAGGTAATCAGATATAAGTTTTAGTATCTCGTTCTATGCCAGAAATGTGTCCTGTGTTCTAGGCCTGGTACATTTACAGCTGAGCCCTGGGAGAGTGAATACTGTTATGCAAAGAGGTTACATGAACAGAAAGGAAGGTTGACCAAGTCTCAGAAAACAGCAAAGCTCCTTTAGTGACACCTGAAGGTGGAGAAGGGAAGAGGAATGTCTGTTTTCCTGACAGTGAGAAGGCAGGCTGGCTGCTCCTCCCTCTTGAGAGGGAAGCAAAATCTTCCAGCTCATAGAAGACAGTCGTGGAACTAGATGTGAACTGGAGCTGCTTTCTTCATGTCACAGGGTGAGGCTTAAGTTCATGGTTCTCATTTATCTTCAGTTTCTTGCAAATATATAATAAACAAGCAACCATTTATTCCAGGATTCAATTGTTCCTGTGATTCAAGGTCAAGAAACCGTACTGTTTATCCTCTGCACTTTGAAATTGTAGTAAATGCTGCAAACGTTTAGTAACTGGTCATGGGAAGTAACGAACCCATTGAAGCCTTATTTTTAGATGTGACTCAGTTGAGAATTTGCTGACTTGCAGTCAAGATTATTTAATGCCATTGTGAGTGAGAGACAGTCCTGATCTAATTCTGTATCAGACACCTAGAAAATGAAGAGTCCTTTACCCAGAAATGGGCAAATGGGAAGTGATCCAGAAATAAAAACGTCATCATCTGTGTACAAAGAGAAACAACCCTGCAGAAGGGAGGATTTCCTGAGCTGCCAGCCGAGCAGAAGCATTGGTTTTGTGACCACAGAAGAGCAGAGAACAAGTGAGCAAACCACAGAACTTCTCTGGGCTCTCCATACTGGGCTTCCAGAACCCAATTTTGAAGAGGCAGCAACAGCCCTGGGAAGAAGGCAGGGAATATAACTGCATCCAGTAATACACTCTGCTTATTTTCCTTCTATGACGGAAGGATTGGGAACCATAAACCTACCTTAAACAGCTCTCAGGCTGTGACACTGCACCTCATTTGTTTAGGTCTGTGATGACACCACAGGGTTTTTCATAGCACTCATCAGACTTTTGTCTCTAGGTACCAGAAATGCTTGTCTTCATAAGACAATCTCTGTGGCTTTTAATTTCTCTAAAGGACGAGAAAGGAAAGAAGTCATCTAGACCAATTTTGCAAGAAAATTAATGTAATGAGTTGATTACAGGAAGATAATTATATATTTAATTCCAGGCCACCTCGAAATGAAGCATGTTGTTTACCACATGTACTCTTCATTATGTGATCTATAGCTAAAGCTAACTGTCCCAACAGAGTTTAAACAACTACTGTTTCTTTATAATCAAGGATAAAGGGAAAATGAATTCTCCAATTAAATCAAAGCACAGTGGGATGAATGCTGGAATCGGAAGAAGAAACTGCCTGTACAAACTTAAAATTTTCAGTCCCCTTGAGAGTACTGTGCTAGAGAAGTTCATTGTTACAAACCAGCCTGTGGGCTAGTGCCCAAGCCAGATGTACTGCATGCCCTTTGCATGCCAGCCAAGCAGTAACTTATGGGCAAAGCAGTCCCTAGACCTGTGCCTACTGCTAGAATGATTCTGATCACTGGTATTTTTCCTTTTTTAAGAACCTGTTGACATCTTTTTACTTGCATCAGATGTTTCTACAGATAGTAGTAAGGTATACCTAAGCTCCTGCTACATGCCCTGCTGAGCTAGTAGGTAGGGAGAAGCTAGTAGATAGGGAATACTCAACAGCACAACATTTCACTGCCATGGCTACAGGTCCAGGTTGAATCCAGTTCACATCTTAAGGAGTGCAGAGAAGAGCCTGGATCTGTCTTCATCTGTTCCATGTAAGTCATTCTCATTCTCTGTATCACACCTGAAGCAGGGTAGATTTAACAAGGAAAAGAGACTTGTTGGTGACAAGACTGTCTTCCACTTAATTGGGATGCAAAATTAATTGAGCTATAATCCAGTGTGCTCTAAGCATACTTTAGTTCTTATGAAATCATAAAACTTGCCTGGGTCTGAACACATCATTACCTCAAAAAGTAAAAGGAAGTACATGGACTGCAGACGTTAATGATCCAGAAAAATAAGTTGCTGGAGGCCTCAGAAGACCCATATATAAAAGGCCTGTTTTTTTTGGATAATCTCTACACAAGAAGAGACTTTGAGAGAAAACCAGTGACAGCCATCCACAGTCTACTGATGCCTCTGTAAATCCTAATCACCAAAGCTGTTTGAAAACAACTTGTAGCACAACACTATAGATCCAATAAAAGAGGCACAAGATGTGGCTGATGCAAACTTAGTACAGTACAAAGTAAGTTTTGCTATTTATACTTAGCAAATTATAATCTCAAATACCTTAATAAACCCTTTTTTGTATACAAAGAATTGAACCCTGTGTTCACATACACTCTGATAAAGTTGAGATAAAAGTTGCCACTGAGCAAGTTACAGCTTAGTTCATACAAGCTGTTTCCTTGCATCATCTGATATCTGTAGTTGAAGGACCACAAAAGGTGTCTGAAGGGATCTCTGGAGGTGTCCAGTTCATCCTCCCCCCTCAGAGCAGTGATGTTGCCAATGGGCTACCCACATGAGACTTAGGTGTAAGAGTAGATGTAGAGTCTCAATCATGAAACATGATTTTTTCATGACTGACACTCTACCATTTCTTTTGATAACCTGTGCCAGTGCTGCCCTATTTGCCTTAAAAAGACATTTTTTTCTTGTGTCCAGCCCAAGTTTCCCAAAATACAACTTCTAACCATTCCTGCTGCCTTTTTACCATCTGCTACTACCAAGGGTTTGGTTCCACTGTCTTTGTAACTCTCCTTCAAATAATTGAAGTCTACAGTTAGACCCACTCCCCTTTAGTCTCCTCTGTGCCACATGGAAGGACGCCGGGACCTACAACATTTCCCTGTAGATCACGTGCCCTGAGCCCCTGACTTTCCTTGCTAGCCCTCTTCAGCACCTCTTCCTATTTCAGGTGGCACACTACTCTCTCTGCTAGTTCTTTTACAAACAGGATGCCAACAACAAATGGACTACTGGATAACAGTTCCTAAACACACTAGATCCATCAGATCCGCTTAAATCCACTGGATACTAGGCTGTGGAGTTTTTTACAGTGTTTCCTAAATAAAATAATTTTTCCTCCCCTCTACATTACAATAAAACAAAAGCAGTAGTTTTGTGAGGTGCAGAATGAATGTTCCATGGTTCCCTATGGACTTATGTTCCTGAAAAGTTGTGAGCTCTCATTGAAGCTTTTCTTCCAGCTGAGCATTTGTAAGTGATTTTACCCACATGATCTCTCTGGTGTTTACTACATGCACACTGTACCCTTTTCCAAAATCAGGTTATTTACAGGGTCCTCTAACTGGCTACATTCTGAACCTGCAAGAACTTAAGTAGCTGTGAAATTTATGCCATTTCCCAAATCTAACTGAAATAGACCAACAGGTTTCAAAGTTACTGGATTGGAATGTGAGGACAGGTTAACACATGCACAAAGCATGAGAACATAAGCCTTATTCCCTTAGGAAGGCTCAAACCCCTACTTTTATGTTCTTCATGCAGACTTGTCTGGACTTTTGAAGCACATCCTGCTCTAAGGGGTTTTGCTCTTGGCGTCCCAGTCAAGAGAGGAACAATCTAGGGTATCAGAATAATTCTAACCCAGTGAGCATCATCCCCATCCAGTTCCTGCTATTTTAAGTGTCTGACCCCTTTTAGGAGGAGTGACTATGCACAGAGATTTTTAACAGGTTAATCAGCTAAATGCTTATCTCTCCAAGATGGTAAATTAGTGTCTGGAGTACAGCAGGGAGCCAGATGCGGCTTTTATTTGCAGGTAGGGCTTGTATTTAGATAGGCATCAGAGAAGGTATCTACCACTTCCACTACACTGGGGGACAAGGAGAGAGGGAATGAAGTCTGGAAAACTCTGCAGTAGCTTTTCCTCTCTGCAGAACAGAGGAGAAGCTTATTCTTCCAGGCAATGAAGGTTTTAACTGTTTTAACTTTCGGAGATACTTTCCATCTCAATTTTCACAAATCAGCAGGGACTATTCTGTCCCTGACATTTCCCCATGTGTAGTGAACTCTCCCCTGAGCTTTCCTGTGTAGCCTTTCCCTTTTTGTGTCTGTATTCACACATCTTAGCACTGAGGTTGTGCCCTCCTTTACCATCACTCAATGTTAATTTCCTTATTTGAAGTATGCAGTGCTGCTGGCTGGGCTGAAGGAGGTCCCTTGCCATCCAGCTTTTCTCACCTGTTTCATGATCTCAAAGCTCTTCCAAAAGGTAGGTCAGGGCCATTGCCTCCATAAGGCCAGAAGCAAGGGCAATTTATACCAAAGTGTGGCGAAACTGAAGTAGAAGGTAAGGTGGCACTCATACTTAGGTGTGGATTTGGCACTTACAGTTTAGTGGTGGACTTGGCTGTGTTAGGTTTATGGTTGGACTCAGTGATCTCATAGGTCTTTTCCAACCTAAATGATTTCATGATTCTATGATGTACAACAAAACATTCTCCAAATATTCTCGTTGAAACAATGTATAGAGAATAAAAAAAAGTCAGCCTAGAAGACATACTGCTTCTTTCTTCTCTGATGTTGAGAAGTCAGTACTTTACCTTTGCTTTTAGCTTCCTTCTAGGTGAATTTAAAACTCATTCTGTATTTACTGAGGCAGGCCAGATAAGTCAGTAAAGGCCTTGGCTTTCTAGAGGTGATCATATCACCAATCATTTCTTCTCTGTTCTGCACTAAGGGCTTAGATAAGAAGGGTTTGGTTTTGTTTTCTTTTCCCTTAATGGATAGGTTTCTTAATTAGGACAGGGGAAAAATGACTGCGGCAAATTAAAACCAAAATGAGGTAGCAAAGAGGAGGATCTGGAGGGGAGGGGGACAATCAGAGACAGCTATTGATTTTGAAATGATGGAGGACCCAAAGGAGAGCACATAACTTGGAAAGGAGACTCATCTTTCAAAGTCCTGTTCTTGCTTAAAACCAATCAGTCCAGGCAGAGGTGTCAGTTGTTGTTGAAGCTCTGGCATTAGCTTTGTTTTCAGACAGAATTCAAATTTTGGGAAGACTCACAGGTTCGTAAGAGGATGGCTCCTTAAGCAGATCTTCAGATTGTGGAGCTAGGAGTCATGGGATAGAGCTGAACACAGGAAATCTGAGTGGAGCATTGAGAAATTCTTAGTAGGCAGTGGTAAAAAAAAAAAAAAAACAAACCAAAAAACAACAACAAACATTTGGGAATAGTTTCTTCCAAGGACAAAGTGTCCTTGCTGACAGGAAAGCCAGGCAGAGGAAAGGCAGCAAATATACACTGAATATGGGAAAAGCACCAAGATGTAACACCATTCTCACTCCCATTTGTTGCATAGCAGGTCCCATCTTTTCTAGAACAGAGAGAATTAATCTGGCATCATCTTGCCTTGTCTGAGTGTCTGATGTAGAGCTTTCTGCCACTCTAGTCAGCACACTTTCATATAGACAGGCATCTTCCCCCTCGGCTTTTCAGACAGCATTCCTCTAAGATTAAAGTCAGATGTTAGTCTGACCTTTTGTGAAATATAGCCAGCCCTGGAAAGAACACCACCAATCTTGTAATGACTGTTTGTCAGCTTATTTTCATTGCTGTGACGAAACCTAACTTTGCAAATTGCTGATTGTCAGATGTCTATGAGAGGGGGTTGGGAAGATTTTTAGCTGCACTACTATAAATAATCTGAAGCCATTCTAAACCTGGTCAAATGCTATGTGCAAATAAGCTCCTTTTCAGCCCAGAGAGCTGAAAACATGCCATAGATCCTTTCAAAGCAAAGGGTTTGTTCCACCATGTAGGAGACCTTTCTTCTATTCTTCACACTGACATTGTTCTATCATCATAATGCTGATGACAAAATGACATCTCTTTTGCTCCCTGTAGGACTGGCAGTTTGTAGGCAGTAGCATGTCCTTGTTCACAGTCCCTTTTTCACCCTCACTTTCTCTTGCCTCCAAGCAATACTAGAACAAGTGTAACAAAAATCTCTTTTCCCTGCCACCACCTCTTGTCTTTGTAGCTCAGATGCTGCCACGTTGCCTGTTCCCTGCCTGAATCCCGACTGGGGGCAACATGTGTAATTAGCTGGCAAAGAACACTACATTGTCTCCTAACACCCTACCCTTACTTGACAACAGCAGGAGCTCCCCTCTCCAACAACTGTTTCTGTGGCTGCTCCTGCCATTGAGAGCTGCTGCTGGATGTCAAACATGAGCATAGGGATATGGTCTCCTCCAAGCCCTTCCTGGCCCAATGCTGTGATTGTACTCCAAGAGAGATCCAAGTCTGGCACGCTGTTTTGACGCTTCAGCACTTACCTGAGCTGAAAATGTGACCAGTTTGCAGACATCTCCTGGCTTGTGCAGGGGTGTTAGGCAACAAGGCAAGTCTGTATAATCTTATTACTATCCTTGTCTAATCCACTAGCACTTCTTCCCTTCCTGTAGGACAAAATGATAAGAGATAAATTAAAGAAGGATCCCTGGTGAGCAAGCATAAAGAAGTGAAGATATAAAACACTCTTTCTGATGCCTGTGGCCTACCCACTCCTGCCCATAACTGCAAGCATCATTGCACACTGTTCTGGAATGGCAGAGGCTCCTCGGTGCTGAAGGCTGCAATCCCTGGCTCCAGAGATATTTAATACTTCCTTTCCCTGGAATTTACACAAGAAATGCTGGATTTACAGGTGACATGGAGCCTCCTGAAAAAACATGGGTACCATAAGGGGAGTTAAGTATGCAGGTACCCAGGGTTTCATTCACTGAATAATATTTTCTATACAGAAAAGTGGGAAAGAGAGAAACATTAGTCACTTACTTGCTTAACTGAGATCTAATAGGCAAGGTCAGTACTCAGCCAAGAATAGATAGTAGAAGTCTCCCATGATGTATTTTTGTGACGAGAAGTTCATAGCACACAGACTGATCTATTATTGGGCTTCACTATGAAAAAAATTAACTACCATGACTGTGCAAATTAGCAAATCTCTGCTGTATGGAGATTGCTTCACCTCTACTGAAGTGCACCTATTTGTTCTTTTGCCAGCCCTCTGCAAGATGACAATACCTGTTTGTCAGTGTCTAGCATGCTTTTCTGTGCTTTAAACAAAAAACATTAAAGGGAAAAGATGAGTACTCAAGGGAAGATGCTGCAATGGCCAGTTTGGTGAGGAAAAGCACCGGACCTTTGCCTTGAGCTGTGTTCTGCATGTCTGCAGTTACAGTAAAGCAGAAGTGACATGATGACCCATCTGCTGGTCTGCAGCACCTCTCTGGTCTCCTGTGGCACTTCAACCTATGGGACCAGCGTGACCATCTACTTGGTTTGTTCTTTCCAGCTTTTGCATATGGGTTTGTACAGCATTCATCAGTGTTCCTCCCGAAGCCAAGCATTTCCAAATATGTAAGGCCACGAAGCCTTTTCTCCTTCAAGTTTTCCCCATGGACTACAAAGCAATCATCTCCCTAAACTTCTAACTGAGAACACAGGAGAGCTATGATTTATATGGCCTCAGGGGCCCCTAAGCACTAAACCTAGGGAGCTGATGAAAGAAATAAGTCCTCTGAAGATGAAAGGAGTAAGGTCTCTGAAGATGAAAGGAGTAAGGTCTCTGAGAACACACCTTAGCTCCTGTGGTACCTGAAAGATGCAGCTGTACTTTTTTTGCCAAGTGCTACAGCACAGGACATGCTCTGATCCAGCTGAGCAAGAACAGAAAACATACGCCATGTGGGCACTAACAACAAGTGTGAATACACTAGGTGCAAGGAAGCTTTATGTTACAGTTTGCACATTTTCCTTCTGTCTATCCTTGGAGTCTTGCAGTACCTATTGCTGTTGAGCTCCAAGCTTCTGGTGATGCTAGGGTTGAAGTTGTTCTCTGTGATGCTTCCTAAAACACCTCTCTTGCAGTGCGGGTGTGAGCTCTTCCAACAGACAGCTCTCTGCACATGCCTAAGAACTGGCAACTGGCTCAGCCTTCACTGTTCCTGAAGACACTGTGTGGACACAGGAGCAAGAACCAAATGTATCATAGTAATTCAAACCACATCCATTCTGTCTTTGCAGCCACGAGTATATGAGGTACCAAGACAGTGGCCCCCTTCTGCTGAAAGATGGTGTATGCAAAACCCACCCCACATCCCAGTGTCTACCACTTTCCCATTCTAGAGAGAGGGCAGCATGGTCCTTACCCATTCCCAAAAGAGGGAGAGTGAGTTTGGGGCTTTTAGAGTAAGACAGAAACATTATTGCCTGGGAGCCTGGCATCTGCCAGGGAGAGAGAGTGCGGTCGCCATGGTAATTCTTTGCCTCATTTAACTGCAAAGTAACCTCCTGTTACATGCAGCCATTCTCAGCACATCTGCCCTACACACAGCACAGGCTGGGCACTGCCTGTGTATCCACATAAAGAGCAAGCCCCTGCCCACAGCCACACACACACACTCTACATTCCCTGCTGTGCAACACCCTTGTCCATGTGTACATGTATGTGATACACAACATGTATGTGTTGAGCAATGCACATTCCCTCAGCTCTCTCCCATTCATATCAAACATACCTCTAGATAACCAGCCAGGGTTACAGTCCCTGCTCCTACAACTATAGGTCCCTCTGCTGCAGGCATAAGATGCTTTAGAAGCACAAGATAATGCATACTCAGCCAGCCACCAAAAGACGCACCCACCCTGTCTCCCCCAGCCTTGCCACAAGACCTACCTACAGCTCTTGTACAGTTTATTCCTGGATATATTTTGTTTCCATGCTGTGGCATGAACAAGGAATAAATTCAGCTCTGCCTCATTCATTTTCCTCTGTTTATGCCACTAAGAAAAAAATACCTCTGAGAGGCAGATCTGTAACAAGTGACTGTGCCTCTCCACAGTGCCATCTCACAGGAAGCTGGTGGTCAGGTCATTGGGTGCTTCTGACTGGACCCTGCTGCTCACATTTCTTCGTAGGTAACTAGAGGAAATCAATCTCAATTCCATTTCTCCTCAAAGCACCCTGTGGGTTCTTGCCAGAGGGCTCAGCTCCCTGCTGATAGAAGGGAAACAGAAATCCAGAACTGCAGTGACTGATTTTATAGCATAGCAGAAGCACAACAGATAGGGGCCCTGAGCTGAGTCCCTAACTCCTCTGCTACACAACAGCAGATATCACCTTGTATCAAAAGATGAAACTCAGCTCCCACTTAGGCCACTAGACACAGTCTCCCAAGCTACCAATGTCACATCAGGTTCCCTCAGCAATTCCAAAAGGTGCTGGTGTGATTAGCGTTTGGGTAGTGTTACCAGGGTGGGCACAGACCTGCCTGCAGTCAGGCCAGGTGGCAAGTAGAAGCTCCTCAGCCACACATATATGACAGCTCCAACTAACAGGGCCCATGGGAGCTAGCAGGCATAGATCCGGTGGAGCCTCAAGTTCCCACACTGCATGGTGCAAATGACTTTTCTGCCTCTTGCTGTGGTGAGTTTTAACAAAAATGTAGCAAAGGCAGTCAGTCAGGGATGGCCCTGACCTACATGAGGGTTACAGTCACCTGAGTCTGACCGGGTTGCTAACAATCGAGTACTACTTATTACTGCTGCAAGTGGCCTATGGAATGTGCTGAGAAGGGCTTCAGGTGAAAGGTCTCCTTTAGAGAGCTGGCAGGGATGCCTGTCCATATCCTTTTGGACCCACTCTCCTCCTCATAAATGTTTCAAGCTCACCTTGCTGCCCTGCATCTCTGGACAAGGCAGCCTCAGTTATTGCAGGACTAGTCACACTTGCACATCTCATCCTCCTCCATCTCAGGGAGGTGACAGGCACCTTCCCGCCCCTGCTCCCCTCTCTTCCCATCCCCATCATCACTACCTACCTGCCTGCTTGGCTGTGGCTGAGCTCAGGTGCCTCTGGAGGAACAGGCCCTGCTTTTAGCCCTGCACAGGAGGTGGGACCCAGGCAGAGTCCATGCTGCTGGTAGAGCCCACCACCAACACAGCTGGGGTTGCTCCCGTCTGAGAAAGATACCTGATGCCTGAGCACACACTTCCCTCTTATGGCCATGCCCGATACAGCAGCTACCCAGGGCTGCAGCATCTTCCCTGGAAATGTGATTTTCCTGTGAATAGTGACATTTCCCATAGTTGCCTCTTACACTCGTAGGGCACAGACATCTCTCCAGTGCACCTGGGTGTCAGGCCAGCTGTGCCGCCATGCCGCCCTGTTTGGCTGATGTTGATCACCACACACACAATGTGAGCTGTGTGAGCGGGAAAGACAACTGAAACTCCTGGTATGTGTCCTGCCAACTGCATCACACTGTCCGTCTGATGTAAGCCCAAGTACCCATTCCTGGTCCTGGGGCAGATTTCCGCTATGGCAGGGCACTGCCTCTAACATCTTTCCTTTCCTCAAGTTAATAATGGCTTTTACTGACTTTGATTTCAAAGGGAAGGTTTTAAACTACCTAGTTATGGGTAGTTGAAGATTCTGTTTCTCTCTCACCCCATTGCACTACATGTCAAAGCCTCTCTCTCTTCTGTTCAAATAATGATAACTTTGCGAAGAGGAGTGGCAGCAGCCTTCTGCTTTCCTGTACTGACCTTTTTCTCTAGACTGAGCTTCAGGTAGCTGGTTCTTTCTGTGCTCCCATCACCCCTAATACAAAATTTATAATGCAGGTTATTATACTGCACAGAAGGGGTAGTTTCCCCTTACATCTGATCTATGGCCACCTTCCCCTAGCCACCAGGTCAGGTCAGTTCAGTTCACTGAACTGAGGGAAAACTAGTTAATTTTCTATAAGGTAGTTTTCAGTGAGTTGAACTGACTCACTCTACAGGTAGAAGGCTGAGAATTAAAACAAAACAAACTCCTTTAGCCATGTGTTTCATCGTCTTCCTTCATACAGTTCTTATAAAGAGGAGGGAGGCAGGAGAATGAGAACCTGCAAAACTGTGCTTGGTACCTGAAAGGAAACAAACTGCTCCTTCCTTCCTTCTCCAAACTAAGGTTTGGTCACTGCTCAGGTACTAGAGTATTATCCTCACCATTTCTCTTCTTCTGTATGGTTTGCTGTGTTCTCATGTGCCACCTTTGTTAGTAGTATCAGTAAGGGATGAAACCAAAACTATCCACAAAGACATTTTAAAGGGAAGACACATTTTAAAAGGACTTGCCCAGTCTACTGCAGTACCAACAATGTTGTCAGAAGCAGCAACAGCTCTGGTCCTCCTTGAAGCTAGCCACAGCAGCCTGGTTGTGCTCTGCCAGACTCGGTGCTCTTTCCTAGAGCTTCTCAAAGCGCTCTGCAGCCATTGATAAAGCGAGACCACATCTGCTCTGAACCTGTTTGCCAGGGTACTGATGGGAGGAGGGTTTGGGGTCACTTCCATAGTGTCAAAAGTTGTAGCCCCAGATCCTCAAAAGTATTTAAGCACCAAAAAAGAAGTTAGGAATTAAAATACCATGGGGCTCTGTGTCCTAATGAGGATGCAGTTATATTGGTATTCAATGTTTTCGCTGATACAGCTGATAGTGCTTAGAAAAGTTCTGCTCAAAAAAAAAGCCCTATTCTGCTGACATAAACTGCCTGCACACAAGGAGGGCTTCACTGGTATAACAGTGCTGCTACAGCGATTTCACATGCATTTACATGTAAATGAGGGCTTTGTTTATACCGCACAGATGCAGCCTTTCACTTCCTCCTGTTGGGGAGGGGAGGGTAACGGTCTCCCTACTCTCATTTTATGAGCTAAGAAAGCAAGTCACAAACAAAATGAGCTCATTGGCTCAATATCGCTCAACATGGCTGGCAGAAATGACAGAGACATCGGTCATAGGTTACAGCCACAGGACTTTCTTCACTGTTAAGAGACAGGGAGACAAATGAGAGTCACTAAATAGGAGCCTCATCAGGTCAACTACACAAGGTCAAATCCCTGATGTGTTTGAGACAGAGGGGCTAGTAATGAATGCACTAGGGAGTCCTAGGGGACTGAGGTGTGTATAGATGCATAAAGCATTGCCAGAAAGGAACTGAACTTAAAGGAAGTTCTTACTACCCTGTTTCACCAGTTGCCAAGCTAAGCAGCAATAGGCATGGAGTGACAATGAATGTCCACAGAGAATGAACATGGAATCCACACAGGTGGTAAATAACATATCACAGGAACCAAAAATGAGATCAGAAGCTACTGCGATTACCTTGCTGCAAATCACTGCTGCCCACGTAAATATGCACTGAATGTACCTCCACTCTGCCAATACTCCTGTATCTTGACCACAGACTTGGCCAGGCCATACTTCCATGAAAAAAAGACAACATAAGCCAAGAAAGATAAAATAATTGATACCATCTCAGCTACTTATTCCTAAACTTCCGTCTGGAGACCAGTAACGAGTGGTGTCCCTCAGGGATCGGTGTTGGGACCGGTCTTGTTCAACATCTTTGTCGCTGACGTGGACAGAGGGATTGAGTGCACCCTCAGCAAGTTTGCCGATGACACCAAGCTGTGCGGTTCAGATGATAGGCTGCACGGAAGGAATGACATCCAGAGGGACCTTGACACACTTGTGAGGTGGGCTGATGCCAACCTCATGAAGTTTAACCATGACAAGTGCAAGGTCCTACACCTGGGTCGGAGCAATCCCAGGCACAGCTACAGGTTGGGCAAAGAAGAGATTCAGAGCAGCCCTGCGGAGAAGGACTTGGGGGTGTTGGTCAATGAGAAAATGAACATGAGCCGGCAGTGTGCGCTTGCAGCCCAGAAAGCCAACCGTATCCCGGGCTTTATCAAAAGGAGTGTGACCAGCAGGTCGAAGGAGGCGATCCTGCCCCTCTACTCTGCTCTCCTGAGACCTCAAATGGGAGTATTGTGTGCAGTTCTGGTGTCCTCAACATAAAAAGGACATGGAACTGTTGGAACAAGTCCAGAGAAGGGCCACAAGGATGATCATGGGACTGGAGCACCTCCTGTATAAAGACAAGCTGAGAAAGTTGGGGCTGTTCAGCCTGGAGAAGAGAAGGCTGAGTAGAGACCTCATAGCAGCCTTCCAGTATCTGAAGGGGGCCTACAAGGATGCCAGAGAGGGACTCTTCATCAAGGACTGTAGCAATAGGACAAGGGGTAATGGCTTTACAGTTAAACAGGGGAAGTTCAGGTTAGATACAAAGAAGAAGTTCTTTACTGTAATGGTGGTGAGGCACTGGAATGGGTTGCCCAGGGAAGCTGTGAATGCTCCATCCGTGGCAGTGTTCAAAGCCAGGCTGGATAGAGTCTTGGGTGAGATGGTTTAGTGCGAGGTGTCCCTGCCCATGGCAGGGGGGTTGGAACTAGATGATCTTAAGGTCCTTTCCAACCCTAACTATTCTATGGTTCTGTGATTCTAAACTTGCCTCTTCTGCTCTACTAAACCACATATCTGACACAGATACAAGGTGAAATGCATGGCAAGACCAAACTCAACATTTTTGCTAGAAAAGTTTTAATCTATATCAGCTTCTCTCAGTGGCAACTAAAAGGGTTCCTGGAGCTACAGCCTATTTTTTTTGTCCCACAGTGTCAGTAAGTGACCTGTTGAGTTACCTCATCATACAGTTACAGTGCAATGGCATAAAGAAAGATTCAAAACTCAGTCTCCAGAAAAAAGCAGGTGCTGTCATGGGCTGGGTGAAATATAACGGAATTGATTAGATGTTACTGCTGGCCTTAAGTTGGTTATAAGATACAGTCTAGCTCCATTGCAGAGAAACAGTGATCTCCATTCTAAAACACTGCTCCAGTCACTGCCCAAATGAGAGGCAAACACCCAGAAATTTGAACTGGGGGGAGGGGACAGGGACAGACATGGACATGACTCTGAGTACTGTTTTGCATAGGAGACTTGGGGACAAGGGACATGAGGAAAACCAGATAAAGCATAGAGAAGAAGGCTCCAGACAAAGCTACGACAATACTGGGAGTCAGCCCTGACTGAAACCTGGAGAAAAATAGCTCTTTGGTACTAGCTGAAAGAAGGCTGGAGCCATGAGCAAGGAAATATCTTGCTGCTTGATCCCCTCACACCATTGGAAACATAATCTTATACATACCTTGCAACTTAATAAACAAACAAATAAATAAATAAATAAAGTAAATACAGTTACTTCCTTCCTTCCTAACTGAAGGATTAAACTTTTGGCTAGCTGTATGTATCAAAATGAGTAACAGCCACAGGGGGTTAAATCAATCTGTCATTAATCCCATCCATCACACAGGACTTCCTCCCATGCTCTGTTCTGCTGGCCAAACCCCTGATCCTACACATATCATCCCAGCCCCTCTTACATCTCTGTTTTCTTGTGGCTCATCAGACCCCTATTCACATGCATCTTTCAGCCGATAGTATATCCTCTCAGGCCTTTTGTGTCCTGACCTCTTTCACGCTTCACCACAAAAATGTTATGCAAGCCTGGCTGGTTTCTCCAGGCAAACACACTGAACAGAGAAGTTTGTCATGTTTACAGATTCTGGTCCAAATCAGTGCCCAGAAATAGGTTCAGTCAAGGCTTCATTGCAAAAAAAAGAGGGGAAAATAGTCTGAACAGTCTTATTAGCATTGTACAGTTTTAGAGGTTAAGTTATTTCCAGAACAGTATTATTCTCCAAGCCAGTGAAAAAGAAGCTGTGGTGAGCCTAGAACTGTAGTACTCACAGCGGGAAGTGTTAAGGACAGGGAGGGTCTCTCCTGGAGCAGAAACACAATTCTCAAGTTTAGCTAAATTTAAGCCAACCAACTCCATTATTTAGAAATATGTACCTGCCTCCCCTTGCCTCTTCCAGAAGGAAGCAATCTGCTGTAGGCATTCATGGCTTACATACTTATCAAGATCTGCTGAGGACAAATGATGGGCATTTCTACACCAAACTAACCAACCTTCCAAACATCGCTCCCTCTCATGAGCCATGCCAAGGCCTCTCCAGCTTTCCATGAAGTTTTGCTAGCAGCTTGACAAATTCTCATGGGACACCCAGCTAGCTAGCTGCTTTCTTCAACAGCTGCGACGTCTCCAAAGAGCTTTCCACACTCCTGCTAATTTTTCTATGCTTCAGGCAGGCATTCTGCCATACAGTCCTAAGCTATAAACCAAGGTTCACTGCTCCCCTGGAGTAATTTCCCAGCATACTCCTTGCACTTTCAGTGCTAGGTTGCTGTAACTGTTAAACAGGAAACAGAAACAATGCTCACCTGACAGCACTGCATTGGACTGTCCAAACTGTAGCTTTTTCAATTACACTTTCAGCACTTCAGCCTGCACCTGGAGACTGAAGGTGAAGAAAGGCACCAGAAGAACATAGACTGCTTCTCTCAGAGCAGCATGCCTGCTATTAACTGCCTTGAATGCAACAGAGGGGCCACTGCTTATTCTGTCTCTGCATTGCAAATATAAAAGTCAAAGGCTTGGGTTTATTTCTGACGACAGCCATCTTGAGACTTTCCATCAAGAATCTCTGGGTAGCTGGCATCATTCACATACTCAATTTTGTCTCAGTTGCCTACGCTCTCCTTTCTTGAAGGAAATTCTTCCCCTCGGCCACATCTCAGCGATGAGTTCTGATTATCTTTTATCAGTGAAGAAGGCCCTTGTTCTCTCTGTTTGGGATACTGGAGCAGAATTTTTTTCTGCTACACTTCTCTGCCCCAGTGGTTATGCAATAAACCCTTCCTGAATTTGCCCTTCTGCTGTCTGCAAACTTCACAACTCTACTCTGTGATCCCCAGACCTATGAATGGTAATAGTACCCACTGACTCATGTCGATGATGTAAGCTCTCTGTTGATACGAGCCTGCTGTGCAGCAATCCCTGCCTGTTTGACTTGTTACTTATGGTCCACTCTTCCTTTTGACTCATTATATATATTTTCTTATCCAGTCCTTTGCTTAACTCAGTTGACTGAGTAAGGTTATTTGCTCTGCCAGCTCACAGGAATAGTATACATGGAACCTAGAAGGAAACTTCAATCTGGAATGATGCTGTTTTGAGTTTGTTTTGCTCTTGTTTTGCAACTGCATAGTCCAGAGGCAGAAGCTGCAGCCTCCTGTGTACATGGGTGTCTCGTGTGTCACACAGAGCCATCCATATCAGAGCTGCCAGCGGGTGCAACTTCAGGAGCTCTGTGGCGTGTGCTTGGTGTGGCCTGTGGCAGCAGCTGTATCCTGGGATGGCACCTCCATGCCAGACTTGTCTTCATGGATATCCCAGATTCTTCTGTTACTGCAGCCTCAGGGTGAGTATGGCCTTCCCTGCCCCTGTGCTGCACTAGAAGGGGCCTGATGCCCCTCAAACACGAGGTCCCACACTAAGGCCAGGCTGGGTCCTGGCAACACAATGAGGTCCCATGTGTAGGGGAGCACTGCAGCCATGGTGTGAGACTGCCCAGTCCTGCACAAGTTAACCAGGGGGTCCCTTAATGTTTTTTTCTTCCCATTTACTAAACTAGTACTAAAACCATTGCACTGTAAGTGTTTGTGCTAGTTGGGTTTAAGGACAGATGAAGTAACCAGTCTGCAGGGTTTGGACTCTAAACAGATAACACAGCAGTGAGATCCACTGCCTGGCAAGTGAAGCAGCTTATCCTCTCTAGAAGGCATTAGCAGAGGAAACTTCTCGGTATGCAGGTGGGCAGGGAGTGGAGGGTGATGCCTCATACATGCCCTGTGAGTGTAGGCTGGTGGACCATCTGCACACCATGGCAAAACTGGTCTGTATAATTTAATCCAGTCTATTCAGATGGAGAGTAGATGGAAGGAAAATGCCAACAGCCAACTATGGTTAAAAAAAATCCTACAAAAAAGGTACTGTGGTATGTGGTCCCCTAGTACATTTCTCACTCATTTGCTCACTCATTTCCTTTTTTCATGATAACATTTGCTCATTCCTCATAGATTCTGCAAAAGCCCTCCCCTCCTTATGTAGAAAAAGCTCAACAGCACCTGTCTCTTCTCCACCAGCACTCCTAACTGTAGTCAATCAAGTCCACTTGCACAAGCACCCAAATGCTAAACAGGGGTATTCGCAGCTTTGACTACTAGGTCCTTCCTAGCAACACCCGTCTCTTCCATACTCCCCATCCTGCAACATGAGAGAGGGGACGCAGCCCATCCCATCTTAGCTGATGGCTCTGTCTCACTGCGTACCGAAACCAGGTGAAGAAAGAATGCTTCTTAGGCAAGTCCACACCTGCTTTAGTGGCAGTCAAGAAAAGGGAGCGGCCATAGACAGCAAGAAAGGAACAAAGTCTCACACCCAGCCTGTGCTTGTTACCCCTGAGCCAATGTTTGTACCCCTCATTACAAAAACCCTCTTGTCCAAAGGTGACCCAGAGATATGGAGCATACTGGACACATACTGCTGCCTACAAATACGCTAAAATCAGGCTATGAAGCTCTCCCAAGACTTCTGGAGAGAATAAAAATGCCTTTCACAGAAACTAATCCACTTTTGTTAGGAACTCCATGTTCGTATCAAATTTGCAATGAGATCTGTGACTGAAGCTCCAAAATGTGACTGTAACACAGAAAAACAATTACCAATAGTAGCAAATCAGAAGAGACCATTTTCTTACATTCACCTGCTTAGACCTGTTAACTTCCCTTGTGTTAAATGAGCTTTGTTTTTATTGTTTCAAGTTACATTCTAAGAAACAGCATAGCCCTTCCCTCTCAATTGCACTGGAGAAAACAAAGGTCATACTTCTCCATCTCTTCATCATGTGATTAAACACATTTGGCTGTTTCCTTCTACCAGTTAACACTCCTGCAACTCAAAAACCTCTAGATGTGTTCCTTTTCCCACTCCCTCACCAAGATGTATACAAGTTGTACAATAGCACACACATCCAGGTGCTTTGTGGTTTGCAGAGCACCCTTCCTCTCATGTTGTCTGTGTAACATCTGGAAACTCAAACTTTATTAATGTTGGTAACATCTACCCCTGAACTAAACACAGTGCTTAGCTCACCCAGTCTTTGAATGAAGTATGTATTTCCAAACCATACTCAAATTCATGGCCAAATATGATGATTTTTAAACACAGCCATGGGCAGAGTTAACAGACTGGCAGCTTCAGTTGTCAGGGATAGTGGCTCAGCAAGGCAGCCAAGCATGCACCAATCTTTAAGCAGGACTTTAAATCCTATTGACTCAAATTCTGCCTGGAGCTTGTCTAGAGCATTTCCTATCAGGTCCTTCAGTACCCAGGCGTACTTGAACCAAGACATACCTCTCCCATGTCGATCCTAGGCACAAAGGGCTTTGCAATAACTCGGTCTGACCTCCTAACCCACCATTCAGGGTTTCACTCAGAGGTTCTCCTGCCAACTTGCGGTGGGTTAGTTACTTCAGCGTTCACACAGCCCATCATGACACAGCCCGAAGCCTGTGTGTCCTGGAGCAACCCCTACAGCCTTGAAAACAACTACTTCAGTCATCAGCTCCCTCGACTCTACACAGGGAGGGCAGCAGAGAGGCTCACCTGCTACCTCACCCCACCCTGGTCCTCTCCTTGCTCCAGCGACTGGGGTGCCCTAAAGAAAAGGCCGCCTCCAGTCACAGAAACGGCACCAGCCCGCGCCGCTGCCCACTCCGCACCAGAGAAAGCGCTTACGGGAGCACCAGGACCCTCCCTCACACGCTCGGCGCCCCGCACCGGCGCTGCCCCAGCCGGAGCCACCACAACCAGACAGACCTCAGCCCGGACGTTGATTCCCAACCACGCCCTAGCTCCGCAAGCCCACTTTGGCCCCCTCCCATTGGCTGCTACCTCAGCCATCACCTTGCCCCTCCCTCCGGTCATTGGACGGACCCCGCTGCTCGCTCCTGCCCCTCCCTTACCCTCGCTCTGTGATTGGCTATCTTATCTCCGGTTCTTCGTTCCCGGTTCCATCTCTGCCAAGCGATTGGACAACGTTCACCTTCTGACTTCACCTTCCTCCAAACTTTCCGCTTTGCAATTGGGCAAACCCCTTCCTTCACCCCACTCCCCTCCCACCTGATTGGCATGCGAGTCTCTCATTGGGCTCCGTCCTCTGGGCCACGCCCTCTGTCCCTGGCGTCCGCCGCCAGCCTCGCACGCGCGCCGATGCGTCGTTACAGAGCCCATCCCCGAGCGTGACGTACCTGCCGGTGATTGGGCAAGCGGCAGCTCGCGCTTCCGGTGCGGTGCGGCGCGGCCGGGCGGGGGTGGTGGAGCGGGCGCAGCGGAGCCGGCGGGATGGAACGGCCCGGGCGGGCTGCGGTGGTGGCGGGTGCACAGCCCCGCGCTAACGGCTGCAGCGGCGCGGGTCACGGCACGCTCCCCAACGGCTACGTGCGCGGTCTTTCCGCGCCCGACACACAGGTATGCGTGCGCACGGGCGCCCTCCGCCTCACGGGTGGGGCCGGCACCTGGGAGGGTGTGTGGTTTCCTCGGGGACTCCGGTGGCGGGAAGAACTTGTGGGGCCGGCTGCTGTGCGGCCGCGGGCTGTCCTCGGCGCTTTCTTCCAGGCGCTGCCCCCTTGCTGCCTGTGGGAGCCGGCAGTGCCCCCGGCACGCCGGGGAGCTGCGGGAGCTTGCGGCTGCCCCCACTCGCCGCGACTGCAGGCGGGCTTCGGGAAGCCACTGAGCCGCCGCTGTTGGAATGTTCGGTACAGCTTTGCTGGCCGGTGGGATCGGGCTTGTGCCCTGCGGCCCTGCGGTGGGGTGAGAGGGCGGCGGGTAGCGCCTTGGTCACGAGCGTGCCGCGGAGGGTGTTTGTTCGCCAGGCTGGCCCTCGAGTCACTTTTGTGTGTTTACCACAAGGCTTTCGGTTTTGTTGTTTAGCAGCAGAGCTTTAAACTTAAAGCTCACTACAATATAATAGGTCTGTGCTTTCAAATAAAAGGTTTTAGCAGTCCTTCACTACTGCTTTATTGTTACAGGTGTGATGCACAGGGGTACAAGTAGCCTTGTTAGGGGCTTCCTGTACAGAATAGTTAAAGGTTGATGTAGCACTTCCCATCTAGCTGTATTGTCACCTTGTGATGCGAGTGTCTATCTGTGCTTTCAGACTTATGTTTGTTTCTCTGCAAAACACCAAAATTTTTTGTTACAGTGTAAGGAACATAATGGCTATCATTGAGGCAAGCCTAACTGTATGGAATAAGTTGTGTTTCCTTGGACACCTAAAGCTGCTTGAGAAGAGCCTTCCTCCATGTCATCTGTCCTGTTGCTCCATGTTTTTCCAGTGTAGGTTTTTGCACTCACTGTGTGAACCACATTGAGAACTGATGCAGGGTAAAACTAAACTTCCTCCTGGACCCACCAGGACACTTACCTCATTTCTTTCACTGGATGGATGCTCATAGTCTTGCCCTGGCATTTGGGAAGTAATAGCACAGTGTTGGGAGTGAACAGATGGAGGAAGATGGTGCAG